GACAAATTTAGGACTTTGAAAACTTCCAAAGAAAGAACGAGATGCATGCATACAATTCAAAACCTCATTCAAGTGGGTTATTGACTGTAAGATTAAGTGTAAATTCGCTTGAATAGCCTCCGTAAAAACGAAGGCATGAAGAACTTCATTGACTCATGAACACCTTCTCTCAACAGCAAAAGCCCCAGATGATATCTTGTGGAACACAAATTGACATTGATCTGGTATATTGTTACTTTTTGTTGTTATTATTCTCCTTTTTTCCTCTCTTTCTTTCTTTTTTCAAGTAAGGGACAGTGTCATTTTCAATTTGATACGTATTCTTAAATGCACAGAGCTGCAAGAACATTGAAAATTATGAGAAATCGATTTTATCTGCAAAAGTGAACCATCTCAATCTATTGCCAGCCGTTGACACCTTAAAAACGTGAACTTCAATCAAAGACATGAGACCGTTATTCCTTTTTTTTTTCCTTTTGTAACTCAACTTACTGAATATTTCTGTTTCAGGTACAAGGGAATAGGATCGTTGAACTTTTAACTGATAATTCTATTCGTGAAAAGCAAGTCACGTCAAATCTTGAAAGAACGGGTAATGCCCATCATGCCACGAATGTAGATGTTGAGCAAATTCTCAGGCACCACATACATGGCAATAGAGGAAATGCACACAGCGTTACGACGAGTGAATTAAGAAGAATTTCTGATTTTAATGCTCGTGGTAACAACACTACCCAAGAGTTTACAAAGCAGACTGTACCGTCTTTTGTAAACGATTGTAGAATGCCATCGGGGAAAACTGGACCAGGTAATCTTACCTTTTCTCCACCTCAAAGACAGCAAGTTAATTCAGACACTGCACAGCCGTACGCACGAGAAGGCGAATCAGCTCACAGAATTTCGCCTGAAATTCCCATTGAACAACCGCGGCCCCTTCAAAGGCCTGCGTCTCATCCACCGGCAATGCATGGGACATCCCCTAATAACCATATACATAATCAAGGGCAGTCACCTATTATCATACAGACAAGTCATGAGGTTTTAAAATCCCCTTCAACTACTCTGAGTACAGTTCAGGACAATTTTCCAGCACGAGTAGGATGGAATCCTTCACAACCAGAAAATCAAAACAATCGTATCCGAATGCCACAGTCAAGTCGAGCTGCTGACGTGCCGGCTCACTTGAAACGTGGTCCTCCAAATATTTCCGTTTTTGGTGGGCCAAACAAGCGGAGTAAACGATGGAGTAACGATGGTTTACATGTTGTTTCGAGTAGTAACGACTATGTTATGCACAACTTTAAGGTAAAACCTATTAACACGACTGCTGTCCCGAGAGTTGTCCCCAGAAGTGTGACCCCGGTAAATCACAGACCTCTTCAACCAAAACCGACTTTACCAATCTCCCAACCACAGCAAGTAAATCAAGCAGTGTACACCATTAGTCCTTCAAGCCAAGGCCATCCATCCAGCCAAGGCCATCCATCCAACCATGGCCATCCATCCAACCATGGTCATCCATCCAACCATGGCCATCCATCCAATCATGGCCATCCATCCAACCATGGCCATCCATCCAACCATGGCCACCCATCCAACCATGGCCACCCATCCAACCATGGCCATCCATCCAACCATGGCCATCCATCCAACCATGGCCATCCATCCAACCATGGCCATCCATCCAACCATGGCCATCCATCCAGCCATGGCCATCCACCCACACCAAGACCATATTTAAATCAAGCTTCTTCCAGTCTTGAATCCATACCTCATCCAACTCTACTTCAAACCAACAAGCCACCGGGGCAGATCATAAGTCAACAGTCATCAGGCGTTCAACCCTCTATTCAGAATGCACCTCATCCCATTCATCAGATGAATAAGGCTCCCATTCAGCCACAAAGACTTTCACAAGGTCAGCTTGTAGAGAAGGTTGGTTATCCTACCAATCCACCACGACAACCTACCACTGACTATGGCCTAGGAGTGACGGTTACCCACTCACAACCTTCTCAACGTGTAGAGCCAGCGCATACATACGGTCAGCCCACTGAAGCCAATGACAAAGTGTACGTTGTTCGAGATTACCAGATATCTCAACAGAGGGATCCAAATCTCACACTTCCTCTGCCGCAAAGAGCTGCTCTGTTTCAAGCCGCTACTCAAGCGCCTCCCGGTGTGCCAAGAGGTCGACATCCGCCAATTCAATCCCCCGGTATTTCGTCCTCAGCCTCGCCATCTAACCGTCATCCAGGAAATCTTAAAATAGGAGGTGATCAGCGTGGTACAGTGAATCAGTCAGATACTTTGGTTGCCACAAACGGCGATTCTAAGGTACAGTTAAGGTCACCACCAAAACCGCAGGCGTCAATTGTAGTTGTCCAGGATGACATTGTTCTTTCCTGGAACATGAGACTAGATGACACTATGGCAGTAATTGACAATTATGAACTGTTTGCTTGTCAAGATGGTGCCGAAAGCACAAATCCACCAATTATGTGGAAAAAGATCGGTATTGTTAAAGCACTCCCACTTCCAATGGCTTGCACGCTGTCACAGTTCTCCTCTGGGAATAAGTATCATTTTGCTGTGCGTGCAGTTGACGACCAAGAACGTGCAGGCCCCTTCAGTGACCCGTGCACGATATCCTTGACTTAATGGAGTTTTTAGCTGCATAAAGAAAAGACATACATGTTATAAGCAACCAAACGCGTCAAAATGTATTGATCCACGGACGAGTGGGGACTCAATTAATGGGGCAAATATTAAGTGCAAACGAATGCAGACACCGTAATTCTTGACCTCTTCATTTTTGTGTTATATTTCTATGATTTTTATATTTATATCTTGTATTGATGTAAATTGCTAAATTGGTGAAAGTTAAGTGAAAACAAATCCAGACACCCTAATCCTTGGCCTCTTCGGTTTTATCATATTATATTTTTGTAATTTTACATTTATTTTCCGCCATTTATGAAGATTGCTCAATTGATAAAGGCTGAGGGCAAACAAATCCAGACATCCTAATTCTTGACTTCTTCATTTGTATGTGATATTTTTATAATTCAAATATTTATCTCATATGTTGATGTACATTGCTAAAGCTGAAATCGTATTTATTTTTGTACTCGAGAATTTTCTTTATTTAGACCAATAAATTAACATGAAAGCATTTCTATGAGGTGATTGTTATTGTAGTTTTAGCTCTGTTTTGTTGAGATGTGGCGCGACATTTCGGAACCAATCACAGAGCGAAGTGAAGCATACCAAAGCAATCCCAGATTTCCTTCGAAAACTGCTCAATAGGTCACAAACAGGGATACATTTAAGCCCGACGTTTGTCTCCCTTATTGCGCATCAGTAGACGCTCAGCATTAGTATCACAGACTGGCTACTTAAATAATAAAGTGTTGAATAGTAAACAAGTTTTATACCTTTATTTCCACAGACCAGATTAATCTAAAGAAACCATCTGCGTTAAATTTCCATCGTTAAATTTCTCCTGGCTAAAGATGATACTTAACGTTTTTGTTGCGACATTCTTTTTTATCTAACTTTATCAAAATGTTATTATCACATATTAGCTTTGAACGGCAAACCACACACTTCATTTCAACCCTATTGATAATTTTCTGGTTGCGCTAGTAAAACAAGTTTTCATTGAAAACCATCTTCTTTCTCCTGAAATAGTTCACGGAATGATTTTAAGAAACAGGTATTTAGAAATACAAAAGAAATCTCTTTTTCACAATATAAACGTTTTATTTTCAATTAGGCACATAATAAGAAACATTTTCAGATGCGTTCCTAGCAGGTGCCACACGTATGAAATATGCTGTAGCTTAAAAACAGTCCCTTGGGTCACTAAAGATAAAACTGGCCATCGACAAATATGTTGCTCAAAGGAACTAAAGCAGCATAATAAACCCCTTTTATAGTTTCCCTTTGTTAGCAACAGCTTAAATGGTTTAAATCTGTGATTGTGTCTGTGATTAATTGCCATCTAATTGTTTCATAATGACACTGGCGTCAATTATGAGGAGATCGACTTGTCGTATAATGGCCCACCAAAACTAATTTCTGAACAGGAGATTTTAATCTAAGAATATTTTTCAATTTGAGAATTTTTAGAGGAAAAAAAAGCAGCAGCAGTAGATGATAGGTAACACGTTTTAAAGTCTTAGTAATTCCATGTGCGTTGAAAATCTCCACCTTTTTGTGCGCGGTTCAATGATCTAGAAAACCAACCTGTAGTTTATGCATGCTAAATAATGGTACCACCAGAACACCAATGAAATATTAAACTCATGAACAGAGGGACTCCAAAACTACTACTCAATCTTCATTACCGTAAATGACTTACAAACCAAGTGACTTATAAGAGTGAAGAAATAAGGTAGGCGATGAGTATATGTGGCTAACAATTATTTCGAACATTAATTTAGAGATGCTTTCTTGCAGCCAAGACGTACTTATGTAATAATGTCTCATTAAGTAATTACTGTTTTTGTCACATTGTTGACCTATTCTATAATATCAAATTCACACACGTGTTGAATGAGTGATTAACCCTCTCTCTTGTGGACCACTGTTCCTTATAAGAATATACAAATACATATAAAGATTTTAGGCCAGAGGATCCGGCGGAGGTATGGTAGTGTTAAACTTCCATTTAAGCCCTTGTAAAGGTTATGTTTAGTTCAATTAATGATATGGACACTGCTTGCTACTAAGGAGCATATATATTTATATATATATATATATATCTCCATATAAACCTGTCACTTGTTTTGTCTAAAATTTTGAAAACGTTTGTTCAAAAAGATTCATGTTATGTCTTTATCACGTTTAGCAATGAAGTAAAGAAAAAATCAAGCTAAAATTAGATTTATCTGCAGAGAAATGTGCTTGACACCGTGGAGTGACTTTCACCTATCGATCGCATTTCACATTTACATGAACTAATACGAATTACTTTTTACATCCACAGACACAAAATGAAGAATTGGAATTATCTATGTATTCTTCTGCTATTAACACTTGCTTCTAGAGGTGAGACTTTCTCCAGTTCTGTTTTAGTCGGTTTGAATCTTACGTTTGTTTAGCTGTTAAATACTTCTGGTACCAAACAAAATGGATCGATGGCGATCTTGCCTAAAATGTCTCAGTTATCCATAACATCAAAACAAAGAATTTCCGCAAAGTCTTCCCTTCTCTTCTGTATTTTGTATTCATATCGTCGTTGCATTACAAACATAGAGCATTTTTCCTCATTTGACTTAATGTCAGGGACTCTCAGTTTAAAACAGGTGTCCTATTCGGAGTGGGCAAACAACATATTTATGGTGTCATAGGTTTTTCTTTCTTTCTTCTCCCTTGTGAGTTCATGCTGTAGCTATCTATCTTCCGTAAGTTACGCAGCCCCTTTTTCTATAACAAAACTATGCCTTACAGGAATCTACTTTCAAATCTTGGAGCATTCCTTTAGGAAGTTAACACACATGACTAGTCTTGATTACCAATGGTTATCACTTGTTGCACGTCGTTTAAAAGTTTCGATAAAAGGTTTTTAGTTGGCCCGCACCTAAAGTCAATAGAATTGGAAACTTTTCATTTTGAAATAAGTCTTGTGGGTATCAAGGATAAATAGCATTACACATAAACTCTGACGAGCACTTCATGCTTTGTCAAATGAATGTATTAGGGATTTTTTTTTAATATAAGCTCAAGTTGTGTCGTTTGAGGTCACGCATATATAGTCACATTCTCACTGCATGTTTGACAAATTCTCGTCAACTAACCTGATGATTTCCGACGAGAGAAAATCACGATTGTCATAAATTTAAGATAAATTATGATAAATGTATTCCTAATTAAATGAAGTCGGAATTTACTGAGCTGAACTACTCGGCTGACACATTGACAAAAAGAGCGAAAAGAAACTATAAGAGTTTGTGAGATAGAGAAATCTTTATTTATTTTTGAGAGTAATCTGAGAATATTCTAATTTAATCCGCTCTCAAATGGGTTCAAGAAACTTGACGCGTGCCACTTTCTCAACCAATGGGGGAAATTAATCGTGATTTTAACGTTCATATTTCATCGTTCAAAAACTGATCTTATCTCGGCATTTGTATAAAAAAGTCCACACTTAATTCACCTGCACAGGGATACAGTGTTAAAGTATTCATTAAAGGCTTTAAATATTACGCATGGATTACCATTTTATTTGGTCGATCATGAGGGAACTTTAATCAGCATGCTACTTTCAAATGTAAGAAGATTTCATTTGTGGGTTAAAAACGTAGTTTTCGGCATCGGCAAATGGCAAGAACGAATTATAAATAATAACTCAATTTTCCTGCTAAAGTTAGTATCTGAAGTTTTGCTGTTTCTCGTGTGTAAGAGGCATGCCTATTGAAAGATAATCACAAATACCTATACGCCAAAAACCATGTAAGACGGAACCAATATTTTTGTACACTTAAACCCAGCTAAGATCTATAGTTGGTAACACTGTTCAGGAAAGGGGAGTACTATCGGCTAAATCACCGTTCCAGATGTGATTCATGCACGCCCTGGAGACCCTCAATCTCCGGTACCGGATACCCCACTCTCACCAGCTTCACCAGAGACACCGGAGACCCCGGTCACAAAGGAGACACCAGAGACACCCCGGACACCGGAAAGCCCTGTAACGCCTCTGACACCAGAGACGCCAAGTACCCCGGTATCACCACGAACGCCGAACACTCCAAGAACTCCTGAGACGCCGCTAACACCAGAAACTCCTAAAACGCCTGAGTTTCCATTCGTGTTAGGGTCAGATGGCTTTATCTATCGCGCTGTACCATACCTTTTGGTTTTCCCGCATGAGATGCCCCGCATGCCATCTCCTGGTGATTTACCAGACGTTCCCCCCGTTCAGGATCAGTATGATATTCCTGAGGCTCCAAAGCCTCCTAAACCCCCGGAACCTCCCAAGGCCCCAGTAAAAAAGAGAAATTATTTGATAAGAGGTAACTACATGATGTTGATAGGGAAGAGTCCTAGGGTGCAGGGAATCAAATACAAAGAATGTTTTCGTCGTACTCGAATTTTGGTTAAATCTTTGACCACAGTTGCAAGCGGGTCACAACAGTTCTCTTTACCCATCGAAGTGAAATTTAGAACATAACAGACTGAACAGCGGTAATTCGAAATTCGTTCGAAGCCATGTTGTTACAGAATGCTGATTAGGGTAGCTTTAAATTGAATGTCGAAAGCAACACGTGATTACATTGGATTTTCTTTCTGTAGTTGGTCGAGAAAACTCACACCAAGCTTAGCTCTTAATGGTATTTTCCATTCTCCTGATTAGCCGTCGTGATTGTAACAAACTTGGCTTTTAATATCAAGATGGATTTATTCCAAAACAATTTGGCGGGCCCTCAAGCACATGGCCCCCAACATGCAACGGGACACTAGAACAGAACCGGAAGTGACTAATACTACAGTGATTACTTTGGTTTTTCTTTCACGATGCCCATCGAAAAAAGCTCTGATGTTAATCAGATTTCAAGGCGATAGAGATGCAAACAATGCCTTCCTGTTTTAGTGTGAATCTTTCCGAGATAAAAGCACAGAAACTCATCTATTGAATTTTGGGTAGGTAAGGTGTAGTTTTGATGAGATTCTGATTTGGAACGAACAAAGCTCTTACATTAACATCGCAATATACCTAGATAGATGTCTATAAGTTACCTGGGGCACGTTAATTTTAAGCATTATTACAGCTTCTTTTGAAACATTGAAGAATATTATTTCAGTTTAAGAAAAAACAACAACCAAAACAAATACTTATTTTAAGGTTGTAAATAATTTTAAAATAACACTTACGAGCAATCGGCGCAATAACACAAGTGATTATTCATCAGAGCAAGGTCAGAGTCATCGGTTCAATTGTGCATCTTGTAAAACTTTGACTTAAGTCTTCAGACTATCCTCAGCTATTCCTTTTCTTTTGAATGATTTTAATCGCTACGGCTGTTTTGAAGTCCAGAAAACAAAACGGTCGAGAATTTTACCCCTTTCTTTAACATCCATCACACTACGACCACAGCATCCGGGTGCAGTGTTTGTATCAAGTGGGGGGCGGATATCTAAACAATGCCTAACCTGAGCTGTCGCAGATTTAATCTGCCAGATGACCTCGAGATTTCTCAACAATCGACTTGTTTAAAGCAAAAGACGTTTTCTAAAGTCGGTTGTTAGTCTTATTAAAAAGCAATCTAGATAAGGTCTTTGGCTATATTAAAGTTGATTTTGAACACGGTTTTTCTAAAGAACGGCTAAGTTTTGTTATAACAACCGACTCATAATATCTTGACTTAGCTGGTTAACCATTCCTTCGTTATCCCTTATTTCACCAACTTTTTTTTAAAAAATTGCCAGCTTGGGAGTATTTCGTCTTTTACAACACTGTTACTTCTGGCAGGTTATCTCACGGTTGCGGATCCAAAAACACAATTGCGAAGACCATTTTCACTCATGTTCCCCAAACATTCGCGATAAACAGTACCGTTCCCGACCACACGACCGTACAATCTAGAGCTCAGAGTAATTCTGATGCTGTCAGTCCGAGGTCCAGTCCTAATGCATATTTCGCAAGGAAACGATACCGTGTAATCAAATTACCGGTTATTGCCTAGATCAAAATCCGTGGTGAAACTATCATTCTATTCCTACAAATCACAGTAACATATAACTCACAATCTTTCTCTCTCCGAATAGGTTTTGCCAGGCCGAAACATACAAGTAAGTATCAGCTTCTCTTTAACCTCGAACATGCACTGAGCACTTAATGTATAAAGAAGTTGATGTCAAGGCGTGGTATATCACTATGAGTTCATGACAACTTGTATTTTCTCAAAAAAAGATTACAGAAGAAAGATTACAGAAGATCTAATTGTCTAAAAACTGTTCATTTAAAGCGTTCTCCTGTATCGTGAAGATAGTACAAGTTTTGGCAAATCTCTTTATAACTTAGGATTGACCACGAAGACGGCCGTACAATAAAATAAGTCTAGTTTTTTTTACATAGGTCAACAAGCAACTTTTTCGAAGTTTCTGTTGTTAGTGAAAAAGAAAGAGACCGAGAGATAAAGAAAATGAGGGATGGCCGTCGTAAAAAAATATTGCCTGAGTTTTTTTCGGTGACATTTCTTTTCCACTTTCGCTGCATGATCAAACCAGTTTCGATTTAATAAAAAAACAGGATTTTATTCGTATCTGTTTTATTTCCCATTACTTGGTCTCCGTGAAGAAAAAGGACATGTAACGCACCAAGAAAGCAAAAAACAGGGAGGTAAGTCCTCTCGCAAAATAAGGCACGACGCACATTACTGGCAGAACAAGAAAGCGTCTTCTAACCATAAGTTTATCCCAAGAAATCTGGAAGTTTGTTCTCTGAATCTGGAAAATCGGAAAGTTTAAAAGACAGTAGTTAAACTCAAACTTCAGAAACGAACTCCGGATCATGGAACTGCAGAGAAACGACTTCCAGCCGTTTGGGATAAATAAGGATCGTATTTTGTGGATGTGCATGAGAAACATGTTCATGCATGTAACACCACCAGGATATTGTGCTGCGTTATGTCATTTCAAACACGACTCAATTACAGAAAAAAAAGCTATCATATCAATGGCTGTATTGGCATGCTGCTAACTTTGAGCCACGTTGCACGCTGAAATACAAAATCTGTAAACATATCCATTCTCATGCTCCTCTGTAAACAATCCATTTTTGTAGCCAGAACAATTCGGTCTGCACTATAGAACGAACCGCACGTTTACAATAAACATATTAGTCATTTGTCGACAACAGAGTGAATTTTCGTTCGCCGAATTAATTGGTAATCGTGTTTGCGGTGAAGGGCGTTGCCAATCCTTGGTGCATGATACTTTCAACTCAGTAATACCAAGTTCTTTTCTTGCGGTTGACCAATATAAACAGGGCACCATCGCCATGGGAATATCATACGAGGTATGTCAGGAACAGAGAACTCAAGAAAAAAATCTGACGATTTCCAACAAGGTTAAAAATTAGTTTTGTTTACTGCATGCCTCAGTAGAATTGCAGACCGACATCATTTCAGAGGTCAGTTAAATTAGCATAATCATCATCACGGTGGCTTGACGCAAATATCAAACCCAGTCAATAAACTGAAAAATTTCCAATTTGCCCTTCTAACCTAAAATGTCTTTGGTAATAATGGCAAATAAAATTGAATCAAAACATGCAAAAGCGACCTTCATTTATATTTGTCAACAACAAGGAAAGGTATTAGAAGCTACTAATCTTGTAGAGTGAAGGCAGGCTTAATTTAGTTGTTTCTAGTCGATGCTCCTAGTCAATTTAGCCTTCCTCCCAACAAATGCTACATATTCCCACTGCTTGAGTCATTGTCATTGTGTATTTTGGATTCGTTGTAATTTTGTTGTTGGTCAATCAACTGTGATTATTTCTTGATACCAGTCATATTATTGCCTCTGGTTCGTTGGCTTTTGTGTCTTGATTTGTGCACTCCCGTTGTTAATTGCATGATCGTCGAGTCCTTAAGCCTCCTCTAAAGAAGTCGTCAACTTCGAGAAGACGTTTTCGTTTAATTTTTTTTCTCAGAAAATTAATCTTAACAGCTAGGATTTGATGGCTAAGTCCTGCCGATTTGAAAGTTCTTTATTAACGACAAGCCATACATTGCAGTCATTGATCCATATATAGGTTATTTAGTCTGTTTGGACATCATGAAAAATGTTTTATGACGTCATCTCGATTCTGCTTTAGTTCCAGGCCTGATGGATTCTGGGGGAAACATCGGAGGAGGTGGTAAGCGAAATTCTTTCTCTGTCTCTGCATTAAAAAAAAACTGACGAACAGAGGGTAATCTGCCTCTTTAAAGGAAACAAGGAAGAAAGAGTCTGTGGCCCATATCTTTGAATGGAACCATTAACATACATGTATCGGGCAGACGTTCTGACACTCAGCCACAAGAAGCTTACGCTAGGCAAGGTCGCAAGCTACAATCGGTAACAAAATTGCTGACATTGACCTTTTCAACTCCCTCTTACTTCAATTTGATCTCTTTTACCCATGTTCAGTTTATCTATTCGCCCCCTCCCCACCCCCCCAAAAAAAGCCGTTATATTGTGATATCATTAACTTTTAGCAACATACAGGCAAAATTGAATGGGGGAGGAGGGTCTTGTCAGTGATTATGAGTGTGGTAGACACAGGAGTGTTATTTTACACATAAATAGAATTTTTCAAACATGATGTGTCAACTAATTTTGACGCTGATTGAGGGTTCATATGTCAGTTAACGTTCGAATGAGTTACCTTTTGCAGGCAGATGTCGACGGGGACCGGCGGTGGGCGGCATGCTTACTAATATCATGTGGGGTCAAATAATTTACAAAAGATAACTGCCAATCTAGTTACATACAAAACAGCAATCGCCAATGCTTCCGTCTATTTCCATCAGGAATGAACTCCATGGGCGGAGGTATGGGAGGTATGGGTGACCTCAGTATGGGATTTGGCGCTGGAGCCACGTCCATCGGCGAGGGTGGTGGAGCTACCATGGAAGGCTTGCCAACGATGATGGGTGGGCCTATGCAGATGCCAGGAGGTATGGCTGGTGGTGGTGGTACAATGCCCATGGCTGGTGGAATGGAAGGAGGACCCATGCAGATGCCCATGGGAGCAGCTGGAGGCCCATCCGAAGGTGCTCTGATGTCTAAACAATTTATCGAAGGAGGAGAAGGAGGTAAGTTTGGAAATATTTGCTTACCTAATGAAGTTAAGTAACCAACCTGTGGTACAAAGAAACTTAGCTTCAAAGAACAAATAGGTGTCGCAGAACCTTATCTTTAAGATTTAAATGATTCTGAAAAGAATGCCTTAGCTCATGGATATGCTAACCAAACAGTTCAGAGTGAGGTTTCAGGAAACACCATTTTTTTCTGGAAATGGACAACAAAATAATATGTATGGACTTAATGCCTACTTACTTTATCGATTCCATCGACTAGTAATTTCTTTTCTCTCCTCTTAAATCCTGTGAAACTACCCCCAGGTAACGTTTATAATAGGGCTGCTCTTATTCGTCTTCTCAATCATATTTTTCAGGCATGGGAGGCGGTATGCACTCCATGCCGAACATGGCAGAAATGGGAGGAATGGGTGGAATGGGAGGAATGGGAGGAATGGGAGGAATGGGAGGAATGGGAGGAATGGGAGGAATGACTTCCATGGGAGGAATGGCCGGTATGAACGGGATGGGCGGCATGGGCGGTGGAATCGCTGGAATGAGCATGGAAGGAGGTATGTGATTTATTTACAGTATCGCCTCAAAGTCTTTCCTTCATAATTAACCTCTCAATTTTATTTTCCTAATGAAAACGAGGTTACAGCACAATGTTTCCAGCGTTTCATCCATTTCATGGCTGACAATTTCATCAAGAAGCCCCTGAAATGTTATACGGTGGGCTTTGACTCGTTTTCTTTTCTTGTCCTAGGAATGCCCTCGATGGAAAATGCTGGTGGAGCAGGAGCCATGTTTGCTGGGCCTCAAGAAATGGGGGGCCAGATGGGAGGCCAGATAGGAGGGCCAATGGGAGGAGCCCTTCAAGGGGCCCTTGGAGGTGGCATGCCCGGAGCTGCACAGAAACGTGAAAAGATGGGAAAAGTACACAAGTTGAGTAAAGCCAGCAACAGAAAGGGTACCAAAAAACATCACATTAAGCACTAAATACCAACAACCCGCCCTGTATGATCGCTGAACAAGGAACTGTATGATTTTTTTTAAACGGGTATCTCCACGAACATACCCTAAATTACTCGAGATCTTGGAACACTGTTGGTCCTTACAAGATACGTGCTTCCTAGCGGTGTAGTTAAAGTCATTTTGGAGGATTACCACGTGAAGATCTTCAAGTATTTTTAAATTTGTTAGTCTTACGATGGAGGTTTGAGACAGTTTTCTTGGATAATCGCCGCCAGCAAATGTTTCAGAGTCCAATACGAATCATGCTCGGAGGCATATCATGCTATGCTTAAGAGTGTGAGATGATAGAGAAAAAAATTTTTGTTGCAATTGTATTGAAAGAAATGTTTCATTAAAATCATCCATCAGTTGTTGTTATAGAAGGCACCCAGGTCGTTTCGGAAATCATGTCTGGAGCTTCTGTGGCTGAATATTGGATAGCCGAATAACATGAAACGCCGCTGTCATGTGCACTCCCATACTTCATTCATGAGGTACCTCACTGCAGATTTTTTCCTGCTCAAGTATCATTTTCACCCCTTTTAGCGATCTGTTCGCTGCCCTATCTGAAACCGGTCTTCTCATGATGTAATGTTACGCCTTCGGGTCGAGTCCCACTTCCTAAGAGGGCTTTTTTGGTTACCCCTAAATGATGATACTATGAGAGAAGGATCGAGGTAACTAGTAAGGATATGGAGAAAAGGTTGAAATATGGAGCCTTACAAAAATATAACCCGCGGGAAGGTGCGAGGTACTTAGTAGCTTGGAATGCAGAGGTTGAGAAACAGGGATAGCATGAGGACTACATGAAAAGACACTGCATTAGAGAAAAAATGAGATCCGTGCATACAAAAGGGGGCGAAGACAAGGTAAATTTATCAATTGGTTCACACGTCAGCGTGCGTTCATCGAGATATGAAGCACGCAGGAATTTTGGAGAGCACGAAAGATGCGCAAGAGTTGCTCGAGGCGTAGCCGAGGGCAACTCTAGCTCTTGAGTGCTCTCCAAACTTCCCAAGTGCATCATATCTCCATGAACGCCAATTGTTTTATAACATTTTCAACCCGATGGAAATTTTTTTTTCTCGAGGGATTTTTTTTGCTGACGTCATGAGCGTGCACAATAGGAATACGAAGCACGCTCGCGCAATTGAATTTGATTAGACAAATTTACTAGCTATGTTATAAACGTGGTTAGAGACACGGGTACATATATGAACAACGCTGTCAATCAACAATCTTTGCATGATTCAAAATATATTTTCAATTGCAAAACTATTTAAAACAACGCTTTCCAGACCTGTTCTCATAGTAAAAAAGTCACGGGGATCAACTTCGATCTTGAATTAAAAATTAAGAAATATTTCTTTCCACTAACTGTAGAAAAAAAAAATTATATATATATAACTGAAACAAATACTCTTCTACCACAATCAGTCAGAAGAGGTTAAATTTCCAAAACCCACAGGTAACAATTAAAAGAACTAGCTAATTTCAGGACTCAATCAGTAGACACTTTCTCATTTTCTTTTAAAAGAAGAAACGTTTCTCAAGAATCTTAATTGGGGGGTCAGATTTTCACAGCGACATTCAACATCAGCTCTAACATAAAAATCTAGAACTAACTTTTGAATATGCTGAGGGTAACATCGAGCAGATAAATTATGATCAATAAATGCTCCAGGTAAGACGCATCAAACAGTCATTCCAACAGAACACGTTATTATTATGAAGCAGCAGCTGGTAAGCTATAAGGCCCAGTTTGTCCATCGTTACCAATCGCCCGGACAATGAAATGGTGAAGTGAAGCCTTTTTTCCCAACAAACGACGTATTCTACATGCCATGGGAAGTTTTATTGCTTTCAGTTGGCCAACTTTCACCCACCGAGCAAGTGACTTCCCCTGTTCATCTGGAGTCACCATTAGTGCAAAAACTTCAAAAGAATTTATATCCGTTACTTTGCTATTAGGAGGTACGTTCCACATAAGAATAGCAGTGCTTCCATTCTCCAAACGCAGAGCAACTTGAGGAATCGGAAGTAAATTTATCTCTTCGGATTTGATTGTTCTGTTGGGGGAAGCGCTTTCTTCATTTAGACCATTTTTTGCTAAAGAATTTGATATTTCTTTACTCTGCTCCAGCTTTTCTCCTAAGGGAAGAGGTACATTCATTGAATGCTGTGTCTTTGTTAATTTCATGTCGGCTACGTAGGGCGAGATTTGACCTTTAGTAGTCATCTCGCACATTCCATGTTCTTCCGCATCTGATTTATCATCCGTTTTTGATGATGCACTCATGCACTCGTTACAGCTTGCTTCCACTTTCAGGGAAGTTGAGAATGGTCCCCTGGTATCACTACGCGTATCTACAGCTTCTTTGAAGACATTTACTTCGCTCGCACATGTGTTGTTCTCTTCCTCACAACCTTTACCTTGGGGCATAAGGCTACATTCACCCTGTTCCAAATTGTCAAGATCCACTGAAGCTTCTTGCGCAATGTCCGTTGGTAACCCTAATCTTTCATTCTGGGTAGCAGAGGTCCCTACGACTTGCTGGCTATTTGAGACTGACGCGAATGGCTTGCTTTGTCCTGTGGTCACAAATACTGAATTTGTCGAAGTAATTATTTCCTGATCTTTGGTACTGCAACTACCCGGTGATTCTTCCACAGTGTCGCTTGGTGTAGAATCAAGTAACTGTTCTAATCCTTCATTGTTTGAGACTGATAATGATAACCTGCTTGGTTCCGATGTCGCACATTCCAAGTCTGTCGGTGTATACATTTCATGATCTTTAGTACTGCAAGTACCTTGTTGTTCTTCTACCACTGTATCCTCAGAAAAAATATGGTCTTGGTCATTACCACCAAACGTTCCATTTTCAAGTTCACGGCTGTCGGTCTCATCAGTGGGATCTGTTCTGAACGTTACTTCACTTTCTTGCTCACTTCTTGCACTTTCTTTTGCACCCTCTTCATTGCCAACTAGTTCATGTGAGGCTCCAGGGTCAATGTTCTCATCACTGCCACCCTGACCGTACGAGGAACAATCTACATTGGAGGCACTTGAAACATCCCCAACATCATCCAGGCTGCGCCTTTGTGAGAGTGAACGAGATCGCCTCGGAATGGTCATTCTTGGTATCACCGGGGACATAAGATTTACGTACGGGTCTTGAAAACTATTGTCATCCTCCAAACTGCTGGTAACCTCCTTACCATCACTGTCAAGTTCTTCACTAGCTACCACTTGAGGTTCAACCTGTTCTTTGTCCTCTTGGCCACTAACTGCCTTTGAAACGCTAACTACCGATTCACCGTTAGAATTTGCTGACGCACATCCATTCTCAGAAGAGTTTTCCGAGTTGGCGATTCTATTTTTTAAAGTTATGAGTCGTTGAACTGTTTCCTCTAAGACGCCACCGGGTGTTTTGGATGGTATTTTGTACGGATCCTTAAATGCCTGGTTTGTACTATCATCTTGGTTTGAAGTGTCCATTTGTGTGGAAGCAAATTTACTTGAGCAAATGGAGCTACTTAAATCCTCCTTTCCGTGCCCAACATCAACATCAGTTGAATGTGAATCAGCCGTTTCTGGATTGTTTCTTTGGTTATTTGGTGTTGTTTTCCAGGTTCTGCTTTCGCTACTGATGTTCTCCTTCGGATCTGTTGTTTCTCCTGAAGATATATTTCTATGCACACTACCGGAGGCAATATCATGACTAAAATGTACATTGCGTTCAACCGTTCCACCTCTCAAGCTTCTGTTAGAGAATGCATACGTTGATGTTTGGTTGGATTGCAGTTGGTTTCCAGCATCATGCCGAGGCGGATTAGCTGTGGTGGGGGCTGATCTTTGTTCTGATATTGAGACTACACGATTTGCATACGAGACCATTAACTGAGACTGCTGACCCGAGTTAGGAAGCTCTGTTACATAAGGATGCGGTTCGTTTACGACATTGAGTGGCTGGTTTTTATTGCTGGACGTGCCTTGTGACTCACTGTAAACACGCTGAGCCTGAACTTCGCCATAGTGGCTCAAAGTTTGGATGTGAGATTGTACCCTTTTATCTGAGTTTCCATCGACTGGTGTTGCCTGGGCAATGATGAAGCTGTTTGATGACAGAGACGATGATAAATTCTGTTGTATTTGTTCCTTGTCCTTAGCTATTAAATTCGACATGACTGGTACCCTCTCTGTTAGATTCGGAGCTGCTGGGGGGTGGTTTAATCGAATGCACGTCTGCCCTTTATATAACTCAATTCTTCCATGCTGTGATGGCACTCCCTCCACACGCTGTGAAGTAGCTACCTGATCATTAATACTCTTCGAGATTCCATGAAGAGAGGAAGACGGTTGTTCACAGCGCCTGGACGATGGCACCCACTCTTTTGAAGCTCGACACGTAATCTGACGCCGAATTTCATCATTGTACCGTCGTATGTTCATTTGAACATCACGTGGTGAATCTCTTAGCAGCTGTGCTAAGTGCCTAGGATTCATCTGCTGCGAAGCAGAATGCTGTTGTGTTCCTGTGTACTGTGCGGGACTGCTGGTAGAGGATGAACTTCTATTATACGTTTGGTTTAAAGAAACAGAATTCCTATGTGCGAGTGCTACTTCTTGATTTGGCGTCGTCTTTTCATTGTTTGGAAAGGTCGAAGTAAAACGAACGTTCCCTGCTATGGCTTGATTTGGCCGCTGTTGCTGTCCTGCGAACTGACTGCGAAACGTTGCCGATCTCTGACTAGTGTACGGTAACATCTGATTCAAAGAACTGAAGCTCTGGCCTGTTGACTGATTTAACCTAACTTGCTGAGGCACATGCCCTAGAACATTTGAAGAGGGATTTGTTGCACTTCCTTTATTCCAAACGACATAATTACCATGATAAGCATTTTGATGACTTCCAGGCAACTGTAATGGGGTTGAATTTGAATTTGAGTGAACTGCATTCGGTACACTTGCATGGTAACTTGCAGCAATGTTACCCGAAGTCTGGTAACCTACAGTATTGTAACCCGAGGCCTGAGCAATATTCACGGGGTACCGAGTATCTAGGCTAGTTGTGTAAAGCTGTTTACTCATTAAGTCGTTTGACCTTTGTCCTTGCGTTAACGGTGGAGGTTGAAAGGTTACTTGCCGCACATTCATCCCAGTTCCAGGTTGGCCAAAAATAGGTTGACTATGTGCCACTTGAGAGGGGTTTGGTGGCTTGGGATTGCTAACTGGAGGCTGAACAGGAGTTTTTCCCTGGATGCTAGGCATGACAATCCCTTGCACCCTTGTAGCAACAGCATTTTGCGTCGAAGATCGTGGTTGCAATCCAGGCACAACTACAGGATCTGTTTGGCAAAAACTGGACGCCATTTTCTTTGGAGGTTCTAATTCTTCTGGGCTTGCCTGACATCCGATAGAAAGTGAAACAAGAGTTACATCTGGAGAGGGGCCCCCTATTCTAAATGGGGAGGTTGCTCTATCAACAGCTCTTCCGCGGCGGAGACTCTGTTCAAAAGAATAACATATAAGAATTTATCGCAAGAGTCATAAAGGGAAGCAAAGAATGTATCTAAAAAGGACGAGCGAAAGCAGACAGGGGAGATATGGTAGTAGGAAACATAGACAAGAAGTTACTGAAAAATAACGGGAAAAAAGTTAGATTAAACTGAGAGGAGGAAGTTAAAGAGGGAACCCTAGCCAGCAGCTTGCCTTGTAGTTCTGAATAACGCCGCGAAATTCATCACGCTTAATTCTGTTCCTTACCAACTGCTCGTGAATAAATTGACCCATAACATATTTGATGGCATTTTCCTGAAAAACTTGCAATTGTGGTAAGATACTCGAATCAAATAGGAGTAAAGAGGTAGCAAAATATGCAACAAAAAGATAGATCTGTAGCTTAAGAAACAGAACGAATTTGAAATTGGGACCTATAAATCGAGGGAAAGCATCGTATGGCAGAGGAGGGGAATTAAGCCAAGTACTAGGAGCTCCATTTTTTTATAAAACTTTTTTTGTTCATCATATGATGGTTGTCAAACCTTTAATGGCTCCAACACTGTTCCCCCTTTAAAACAAAAACATGTTAGTCGTTCTGCGGTTTCTCTTTCTATAACGGGAAATACTGAACTACATCTACTTCGCTGGCAACCAGTTGCTCTAATAAGTATTCAATATGCATTGGTCAAAGGGTTGCAGCACAGATGATGTAATTCGTAGGCTCTCAAGTAACTTACCAAGTCCATATTAATTTGAATCCCTCTCGAAACAGTTTCAGGTTTCCCCTGTAAATGTACATTGTACATGAAATGATTTAACTTAGTCTGCATGCACAACAAATCCTGAGTTAAGAAGCCTATGTGGAAATGTCACCTCTTCCCTTTGGAAACGAAAAACGTGAGGAGGTTTGGGAAGATTTTAATTCGTAGGAAGACATGTTCATAAACATTTTGTAGGACTGTTAAATCTAATATATAGATTAAGCCAAGCCTAAAAGCGGAACTCGCATTTTTTTTCCCGCACGTCTCAAGGGCACAACGCCTTGTCCCCCCGGCCAGGACTAGAACCCGGGTCGTCCGACTCGGAGCCCAGTGCACTGACCACTGGACTACTTGGACGAAGCCGTGACGTTGGTGTGCCCGCGGTACAGCTGACCACGCATGTAGGACTATTAAATCAGTTCTATAAATAAGAACGTGCATGTTTCCAAGTTGGCCTTCACCCTTTCACTCCCATGAGTGACCAAGAGGGAATTTCTCCTTACAATACAATTAACAAACAGACAAGTGATGAGAATAAAGTTATATGGCAAACAGTAAGGAGAATTACTACTGTAATCTTGGGAGTGAAAGGGTTAGAGGTTCTCGTACAATTGGTGTATGCTTCAGAATTAAGTAGTTTCTTAAAAGTGTACAGTGGGTTACAGTTACACTATCTTCGTCTCACTGACAAGAAGCAACTCTGTTTAAATAACAGTTGTGTGAAGTTCCTTACAAGGTATATACATGAAAATCTGAGAAAATGTTTCAAGGGGTTTGGCTGATTTCATCAACCACTGGAGCTTGTTTTTCTTCATTAATTCATGCTTGCTTCCAAAGAACCTCGTGAAAAAAGCCTCTGTTTTGTGTTTAGGGCTAAAAGAAAGTCCTCATGTGAGACAAATTTAAGTTTAAAAAAGTGGAATGAAAGGTTCTTAAAATCGGGTTCCTGTTTTTTTTAATTGAATCTAAAACTGTTAATAAAATTATGACACTACAGCATGCAATCTATGAACATATGCTTGTCCAAATGATGGCATACTTATAGCAGTCAAACACTAAAGCTGTCTATGGTTCATAATTATTCCTTTCAGTTGCTTGCTATATAAACTAAAAGCACTTTCACCTCCTTAAAGAAAAGTGCAAACTCTAAAAGTGCTACAAAGTGTGCTTACCATTGAGGGAGGAAGAAAATCGTTCACAAGCTTCCTTAGGTTTTCACACTCTGAAACAAGTTCTTTGTTCTTTTCTTCTAGCTGTGACACTAGTTGTTCCAGTTGTGTCTTTGCTTCCTTTTCTTCGGCAAAACTTGTCAGAAGGGAATTCATAACCTGATTTATGTGAATTAACAAGTAAAGATAAAGAAATGTGTTAGTTTAATTTCTCTATGCCTTTACTGTTTCATGGTAATGATTTACACTAAAGTTTTTTTCAACCTGAGTAAGACATGTAACATCTCATATAAAGTTACCTACATGAAATATAAATATGAAAATACATCTGTGACAAGTATTCCCAGCACTGCTCTCCCTGCTGGTGCAAATTATCAATTCTCTATTGTAAGATGGTGAGGGAGGGAGGGAGGGGGAGAAAAGAAAGAGAAGGGAAAAAAGGGAAGGGGTACTTGGCCCCACCTCTTGATATAACCTCCTTTTACTTCTTCATATTGGCTGTCTTGTCTCTACAACACCTGCTATTTTCCATTCAATTTATATCAATTTTTCAAACATCTACAATCTAAAATACACAACATAAAGGTTTTGTTGTTGCTGGCATTGTTACATCATTCAGTGATTAATTTGAGAAACTTGCACTCTGTACGACAAGGGCTAAAAAACAACCTCCACAAACCTCAACAGTACTCTGGTACTGATCAGCACTTAAAGATTCAGGTTCATGTAAAAAACTGCCACTGCTACTACCACTGCTACAACCAGGTTGCAACTGTTGGTTCTCTTTCAGCCAATCCCAGTCATCTTGCTCAGTAGTTGCAGTTTTGAGAATAGCCTCTTGGCCATTGTCATTCAATAATGTCTTGCCAAAATCGTCTTTCACCTGCTGGCAGGTCTCAGACACAACATCTGGATAGCAAGGTACTGTAATACAGTCTTTTTCCCATAAAAATGGAGAGTCACCATTCTCATTAGGAAGGGGCTCATCTGAATGAAACAAACCCGCCTTCACTGACTTTGGATGGAGACAACTGCTACCATTGGGTAGCTCACAAACAATCCTTTCTGTATATGTCTCTTCACAATCAGGGTATGTCTCAATATAGCCAGTAGATAATCCACCCAGGAGGTCTGACAACCTGTGCCTCACAGGACTCTCTGCTTCAGAATTTTTTTCTTTTCTTCTTACTGGTTTGGTTGTTGATGGTACCACATCTGCAACTTCCTCTGTGGTTGATGTGTTTGCAGCACCATTGTTATTTGAGGGAATCTCATGTTCCTTGTTGACTGATGCCATTTGAAGTTTTGTGGTAAATATTTGTAATCTTTGTAACTGTTCTTCAGACAGTTTGAGTCTGGGGATAATGACTTGCAGTCGTGTCTTTTTACCTGTTAATATTATTCATGCAAGAACTTAGTAAAGAGAATTTAAAATCTAAATCCATTTACACTCAATTATTTTACCAAATGCTTACTAGTCACTAAGCCTCAGGCCTGCCACATTTCATTTCTTCCCCTTTTCATAGTTAGAGATTAACATACAGCCACTATAACTTTGAATTTTTAAATTTCTCTCAATCTTGTTGGTGTAGAAAACAAATTCTTTGCCACCAACAGAATACATTGCCATTGTCATAAATGTTTAAGCATTAATTTATCTTAAACAAGTAGGCTTCACAGGCATTCATTCCCTTGAGGTATTACTGTCCTGTTCAGTAAAAAAGAATTTAACCCTTCAACTCCCAAGATCTGATTGTTAACTCTCCCCTGTAACTGCTACACATTCTCTCATTAGTGAGTAACAAGAATTTGGTGTTAGATCGAGATAAGAACCTCTATCTAAATAGTTTGACTGTTCTCATTGGATAAGGTATGGATTTTAAGGGAGAAGTTACATGTTAATCAGGGAGTAGTAGGGTTCATCATTGTTTTCTTGTTATTGTTATGTGTGTAAGCCTATTACAAATACAAGCAAATCATCTTTGTTTCCAAAAAATTCAGAATGCAACAATGTTACAATGTAAGAAAGTATATGTTGAAGTAGAGTCCAAATTTACTCATCCAAGTGGCAAGTTTCACATTGTGTTGGTTAATCATATTCTCCTGGAGTTATTGCCAAAGAACAGATTACTGGAATTAACCATCTCTGTCTTTAACATCAACCTTAGCTGTCAGCTTCATCACCAGAAGATTTTATCCAACTGCAAGTAAACCTTTACTACAGAATGGACCTAACAAATGTATCTAAATATTTTCTTAATTCACACCTGTTTGACCAACATCAATTGAAGTGTCAGATAATCTGAAAGAAAAAACAACAAAAACCATCAAACACCCTATTACTGACAATAATATAGTTACACATAAGCACTTTAGAAGGTAAAAAAAAAAACAAACAAACAAACAAACAAACAAATGTGACTCAGAATGATTAGCTTTCTGCTAAGAAGAGTACAATTATTTTAATTCAAGAAATGAACTAGCTATACAGCATCAAACCTCTAAAATAAACATGTGAAGGAGGCCAATTTAGGCAAATAAGGTAAAACAATACATCAAAAATAATAAATCAAATAAAAATAGAGCAAAACAATGAAAGGAAGGAAAAAACCAAAGATGAAAATAGACAATCTATGTAAGAATTTTTTTTAAAAACTTTTTTCTAAAAGTTGTCACACTTGATGAATTTGAAGGATGGGGAGAAGAAAGGGATGGGGAAGCTTATGGTTTGTTAAGTTGAGCCAGATGAGTTCATTACAGAATCAATTTTACTGGGTGCAAAAGAAATTAACACTCACTTTCGTTTAATGGTATGTGGTGTGCTGCCACTGTTATCCATATTTTATCAAAAGCCTAGTGAAAAAAAATCGAAATTAAATTAATAATTTAGCCATCAAAGCAATGCAAAACACAATGCAATCGGTTGTTCTCCACGGAAACTATCTACAACTGTATCCCAATATAGGAAGTTTCACAAATGCACACGACAAAACATCTGGTTACAAACTTTTTTTGTGGCATGTAACTCTTTGCCTGCACTTTTTTCTGGGTCATGAAAAATCATAAAGCAGAAGTTCTAGCTTGTAAAGCACAAACCACATGTCATGAAATTATTCCTGGCTGCATTGAAAGGCCTCACACTTATTGCCATATGATTTACTTAATGCACGTCAGATTGCAGTGGTGTCAAAAGCTCATCTTAATGCAGTGATAGACACAAGTAATTACAGTATCCTTGGAAAATACAATCCCTGTGGGCCTTGTTAGGTTCTCCTTTCAGTTCATTGCAGAGAACCACGCAGTGATAAGCAATAGCAAGATTTAACAGCATGCGTAAATTACGACTGCAGAAAATTCCCCCACAACAGCAAAAGTCCACCTTAATACTGCCTCAGTGGCAACTTGGAGCTCAAACTTAAATAATTTTACACCTCACAAAAAAACTTTTTTAACTATTAATACTATAAATTAAACCACTGCATGGTTAAACAGGTAATGGAGACAAAATAAGTATGCATCAAAAGTACACAAATACATACAGGTGTTAATATCTTAATTCGAGTCAAAGATCATATCATTGAAACCTCAATTAGCAGAGAGCGTGCCTGACAATAAAATTAACTGTTTCAATAAACAGAGACTACTGTCAATAATTTGCCGCAAAGAACAAGCACTTCTTTCCACAAGCTATTGTGCATGATGACATCGCAACAAACTTGGATACACACAATAATAAAAAAATAACTACAGCTACGACAACAATAGCAACTGCACATGCTTTAAACCAAATATTGGCTTTTCTCCTCCATTGTAAAAAATTGTGCTACTCATTATGTACTTCATATGTCACATTTATAATAATTTTATTAACCCAGAAAACTGCCATGTAATAAATTACAACATATGAAGCCGCTTGAAATACATGGCTGGAGGTAATATCTACATCAAGGCAAAGGAATTACACTTATGAATTCCACTAATAAGTAACATTGTTCCTAAGGAAATGTTAGTCGATAAAAATATTTGAAAAGCAACACTGGCAAAACAGAATGATTAAAATAAATAAAAATGATAATGGAGGGAACTACAGATCAGGAGCGGCATTCAGCGCATAGCGTGGAGCCACAGCTAATTCGGGAATGTCCATTTCATCGTGACTACGAAATAGTGAATTCATATAACTCAAAATCTACATCAACTCAGTCTGTATAAATCTCGTCAACGAACGCCTTGCGCCGATCTCAGATTGACGGCTAGTACTTAACCCTAAAACGACTATAAACAAAACTACGTAAAAACGAAACAACCGGAACGAAATCACCGGAACATAGCCACCGGAACAACACCAACGTGACATACTTCAAGTTGATTATACTTAAAATAACGCATTGTAAGAGCAGAGCAATTCTATTGCACAAACGTTTCCAAAACTTGCTAAATTGTCAGCACACAATAAGTCAGTGGTTCCCCTTTAAATGATCGCAACAGGGAGAGATAAAGTCCCTATTACTATCACGTCGTTAGAAAAATGGAAGCCCGCCAAAAATGAAATCGCCAGAACGAACTCAATGTATTCGTGCTCGCGTCACTTGTGCTCAACAAACATGAATAAATAAACAGGGTATTCCTAGGATTATGAAATTCCAGTTGAATGTGAAAACCGGTACCAGCAGGCATCGATTGTAAGCTTTCCCTAAAATGTGCATTTGACATATATCTTGTTCCGCTCGCTAAAAACACTTCCACGTGAGAAACTGCACCACGACGACAAGCAGTTGCACTTACCTGTGGTTGTGAGTGTTTTTTGCCCTGTTATTCCGTCGTTTTCTTCAGTCAGGCGCCGTTCACTTAGATTGCTACGGTCAATTTATCATGCAACTTGCCACGAAGACACAATTATCACCAGCAGTGGACAACCCTCAACAATCCGGTCATATCGCGAAGCGTAAACCCAGAAAACGTCTGTGTTTTCAATAAAGTTTGACAAGTGACATGTGACGGAAAAGATGGCCAATCAGGAAGCAGTTCAGGGGACCCCTGCTTTGAAATACGTCAAAACAGAGGTGTCAAATTTTCTTATCTTAAACTCTACTAAGAAGAATACTTGAAATGGCGAAGAGGAGGAAATAAAGTCATTTTCAAACTGTAAAGTTATTTTCATTCCTAACTGGTCAACCAATATCTAACAAAAGTAATGGAACCATGTGTTATTTAGACAAGTGGGACTTACATCTTGTACAGCTTTGAACAAAGAACAATTTGACTATGTCTAATACCAAACAGATTAAGTCGTCTCTGGTCTTTGATGAGCTTCTTCAAGAACCAGGGTTACTCCTGGCTAACAGCACTTCAAGAGCTCACTAATTACTCTCCTAGCCCCAAAGCTCTCGCATAATAATAATTCTCTTTGCTAAATTAAGCATGTTTATTATGTAGATTGTGAGTAACTTCAGCTGGGCAAACTGCCTAGATCAAAGAAAGTCCCGATTTGTTTATAAGTGAAACAATACAGTTTTTTTTGGAAAGATCATTTAAAAATACATTTTCTGAACACGAAATAACCGAACGGTTAATACGTAAATGACTCGTAAACGGTTTTTCCAAACTTGTGTGTCAAATTAAGTTTATGGGAGCAGACGTATACGAATATGCGTTGTGGAGATGTAAACAGAGAACAAAGGATACGAAAGGCGACAAAGGTAAGGAAGGCAACTGAGTTTTAATAAGTTCAGGGAAATCATCAATATGCGACTCAGGTGTGAGTTTTTCACAGCCTAAAATAAACTTAAGTTGTTTCATCCGAAGTCAAGGCAGCTGAAATCACCCGTTGAGATAAACTTACGTAGATGCCGGCAAGATTGTTATCAATACAGCTGCCTGTTGTATTTTAAAAATCATTAAAAGAAACGGATGTATAAAAACTGAAATTTTCATTAAGCGTTCTTCGTTAGATCAGCCGCGTGCTTTGTTCAGAAGTCTTCGCAAAAAAACCAAAGGTTTTCGTTTCAAAGCTCATTTCAATTGTCTCCCCAAAAGAAAGCAAATGAACTGATCACTTGAAGAGGAAAACACGGACTATTTTTTAACACTCCACAAGACATAAATAGAGATCGAGAACAAGAGAGCCTTCTTTGATATGATCCAGTTCTAGGCTGTCGCCACGCTTCTCCATGACTAACATATTCTACCAAGTGATGCAGATATCAAGGTGAGACTGATCTGATAAAATTGGTCAGGAGAGCACCATAAGTAACGAATACTCAACACCATCGACTGTCATTTACCTTAATTCGCATCTCTCTATCCAAAAGTTCAGTTCAGTCCAGTTCAGTCCTTATATAGGATATAGCAAGATGTGGCGAGAAGCATATGCAAGTGATTATCACCTCGTTCCCTTACGGAGATCATCTATAACAATGCAATGCGAGACAAGCCTGAGCGAAAGGGCAACCTTATCACGCCCCTTCAAAACCATTGTAAGGCCCTGACATCAGCTGACATCGAGCAGACTTCATCCATCGAGACCTCGTCCATAGTGAGTCCTTGGCTTTATTTGGCCACATACGAAGAAAAAAAACTGCGAAGATTAATCTATGAAGATTCGTGGAGGGTCACATCTTGTGGAAAGAGTAAACAGCTATCGAGTTGCTCTCAGCTGATTCCCTGAGAGCAGGATGGGGTGCAGAATGCAGCAGATTACCTTGACAATAACCGTTAAGGCTGTTTGAAAGACCGGGGTGAGGAAGTTAAGGCAAAGTGGACCAGCAAGCAAAAGACGCTGAAGGAAGGTAGAAAAAACAGAATAGGTCTTTATTTCACTTCCAGGAACGACGAGGATAAATGAATGAATGGACTAACCCTAACTAACTGAAGCGCTAGACCAGGCTAACTGAAGTGCCAGACTAACTGAAGTGCTCCTAAGTCGGCGGCCTTATGCAACCAATGTGGACAACCTGACATCATGGTTAACGGTTCACGATTCAAAGTCGCTAATAAGTTTGTATACCTTGCCAGTTCAACGGAGCGAAATGGCGCCACTGAAATGCAAATGACCGTCTGAATAACAAGGGCAGGTTCAGCCCATAACAGATTGTGTGCCACGGTCATAATCTGTCAAATTACAGGCATCGGTCTTGAAGGCTCTGAAGCAGTTTTGCCATTCACACTCCTAAATGCATGTGTATAAGACCTCAACCGCCAGAAACCAACACCACGCCAAGGCCCTAAAGCTTCCCTCTCAAAACCTTCCTTATGAAGCTTCATAACACGAAGTGGTGACACAAGGCTCCAAACATCAAACTACCCACGTAATCTGGCCTGGTCAGCATCCACATCTCAAGCTAAGTCGGGTTGTCACGTACTTTGCAGTTGGACTGGAGGCTTCTCAAGAACGTCTTCAGCCGAACCACTTACAACAATATTGGACAAAATAGTTTCACGAATGTCTACAGAAGCGCTTCGAAGACACTCCAAAGGGCCCCTTCGATGCGTGGATAACCAGGTCACACACGTTAACACTCGCAAAGTTAGCAAGACTTCTACAGCAGAACAGTTGCGGTTAGCAAAAGGTTTCGGCAAACATTCTTCAGTCCTACTGCCAGGATCTCTTATCCCTTTTCCTTCTCTGTTACAATTGTCATCATATCTAGTTTGCGAGAGTTAGTCATTTTGTCCACCCAAGCGTCCACAGGCAAATGTACACTTATGTTATGAAAAAATTACGGTGTACTGGAACATTGCTTTCTCGCAGACAAATTCTTAGGGTCATTTTATAAACCACAATGCCTTGATTTTTCAACATGTAAGCCATACTCTTCTTTTAATCGACCGAGTTACTCT